CATTCAATAAATAGATTGTAAAAGTAAAATCTGTAGTCAAATGTCATGTGTTTGCGCCACCACGGCTCCCGGAGAGCCTGCCCCGGCTGCTGAAAAAAAATCCTAGAGGAAACACTGATGTATAACTGTGTTTGTGACCAATAAAGGCCTTGAATCCTGTTAGTATGTTGTTCAGCTGATGTTAGCACTAACTGCACAATAATAGGAATTTCCTTACTGTTTGCGCGTTTTGTGCAGCTAATGCAGCTAACATTAGTGTTCGCCAAAACAAAAGGAAACTCCTCAGTATTAGCATGTTGTTGGCTACCATGGCTAACATTAGCTTTGACAGTATGCTCACTGGTTAAAGCTACGTGAAAACGGCAACACTGATGTACATTCAGAGATGGTGGAAACTTTTATTTGAAACCAAAAAACAAGGACTGGGTGGGTTACTGGGTTTTCATGTTGCCAGTTGTGCTTCAGTTCAACCAAAACTCAGCTGCTGTGGACATCTGTAAGCTTCTCTCCGGCTCCCTGTGCTCACATAAACTGCACTTAAACACAGCTAAATTCACAATGAAGCTGCAGAGGAGGATGAAATAGTAATAGACGTGTTATAGGCTGCAATCACTCAGGGGTTTGTAATGATAATTGAGGGAACTATAGGGGTGCATTATGCAGTTCTAGTTGTCATCAAAGCTTTTTAATATCCTTAAAGTGCATTTATTGTTCCCTTAGAAGATGTTGGTGGTGAATGAGTAAAGGAAATAGAGGATTCTGTGGTTTCTTAATGTGGTGTGGTCACTTCAGGTTGTTTTGATGGTCCCAAGAGGCTTTTACACTGAAACAGTTCAGAAACAGAAGTTTTCTTTTCCAGTCAAAGGTTTAGGTTTTTGAAGCCAACTAGTAGCGAAGGTTCTGGTCATCAGGGTGGTAGGCTGAGTGGTTGGGACCTACAAGGTTTGCATTGTTGATGTCTACATAATCACCATCAGGCTCCATGTAGGCGTAGTTTTCCTCTCCATCGTCCAGGTCATCGTTAGGGGTATGTTCAACCAGTAGATTGCGTCTTTTCAAAGCAGATTTTTTACCAAATGCCCGATACAGGTACACCGTGATGACAAACTGAAGCACCTGCAGAAGACAATTGCATATTAACAGCAGAATAAATGAATAATAGTCAGGAAGTAGAGAACAATGAAAATCTACATGTCAAATTCCAGCTTTATTACCTGGATCAAGATGAGGCTTAGGGCCATGCCGACGATGGTCAATGCATTCTCCTGCAGCCAATCACTGAGCTTCTCACTGCAGCCCTGCAACAACAAACACATCATCCTGATAGACAAAGAGCCCAGAGGCAGCATGGCATCATACAAACACAATATTAACATACAAGACTTTAGGGCTCGTCCACATATAACAGACACTCATAGCAGCGTCAAATGCTTGGTCATTTTGCTCCTAACCAACTAACTGACACCATGTCAAACAGATAAACCAACACCCAAAGCCACAAACCAGGAACAAAAAGACACATAACTACAATGACACAGAAAATAACCAGAAAGAGAAGCAAATCGACCAAAGAGACTCAGAAATAAATTCAAAGACACACAAAATGATCATAAACAGATATTATTTCAATGCAGATATAATACCGCTTGTTTGACACACAATGAACTACTAGATGCAAAAACAAATCATGAAACCAATTAAAAATGAGAAGCAAAATGACCATAAACAGGCACACAAAAGACACACAAAATCACTGTATAAAGAATAAAAACTGGCTATAAGACAAAACAAACACCAAGATCCACAAAATGGTGACAAAGAGATGCAAACAACTACAAATGTGGTGTTCCTGGTAGGAACACCATTATTTAGAAGTTGACTCCCGGCTGCACTTGGTGTAAGTGTCGTTTGCTTTGTGTTTGCAGGCTGAGCGGGCTCCGACCAGTGGAGGTGATTACGCACTGGCGGCCAATCGGCAATCAAGTACTGGTTAAAGCCTAGTGTCTCCTGCTTCCCAGTGCCAGAACTCCTCTCACGGGGTGTCTAGGCCAGCTCTCAGTCGTGTACTAGAGTTTCGTAGTCTCGAGCTTTTCTGTGTGTCCCTGTGTGAGCGCATTCCTAACTGTATGTTTCCCTCCGTCTCTCCAGCTGTCTGTCCACTGGATTCCTGTCACGAGTTCCACCCGCTCAGCAGCAGCGCACCTCTCTGAGCACAGCCATCCTTCCCCTCCCTCACCTGGCTACAGCGTCTGCATTCCTGAGCACTTGCACCTTCTACCTGCAGCACCTCCTGCAACAAACTTCCCCGCTGGATCACCCCCCTGCCTCTGGACTCACCCGTCACTCTCTGTTGGTGCCATTTTCTATTCAATGATTTATGCTAATATCCAGTTATTATTATTTGGATATATTTAGTATTTGCATATTACAGAAAATGTATGATTACAGTATACGTGCATTACTATGTTTATAATTTGTACTTCGTTTAACCTGCGTCTAGTTTAAGGCTTAGAATTCCTAGAATGAACAGCCAATAGGAACTGACGCTGAGCAATGACGTGCTGGAGCTCGCACATCTGTTAAATGTAATGCTGCTGTGTGTTTGTTATATGTCGAGATCTTCAGTAAAGACGGGGCGAACACATTGTTTTCTACCGTCGTTCAAACTTAGACACGAGTAGACTCGTTCTTTCCGTCTGACTGAATGGTTATTTGCTTGAAGACTTTGACGACATTAAGAACAGACATTTAGCCACTACACTCTCCCTCCCTGTTTTATAATAAAAACCACCTTTTCCACTATTTGCCTGCATGTCCCGCTTCCTTCCATCCGGCGTGTCGTCACAGCAAAGGCACAGAAAAAGACTAGAAAGAAATGCAAAGGACAGAAGCAGTCGGCCCCAAACTAAAAGACACTGTCAAAAAAGTTTTGACACTACTGATGGACAAACAGCCTATCAAAACAGCAGATCATCTAAAAACAGCAGATCACTTGTCTGTGTCAGATTCCAGTAGTTGCTCTATGGAACTACCTGTTGATATAGTTTTGTTTTCAGATTTATTTTTTTCCTGCACCAAATCGATTGGTTGAATACTAAGTACAATTTCAGTTGACCAAGATTGTCTTTAGTTGATTACAGCCCTGGTAAACTAAGAATTTGTACACTCACTAATTGCCATTGACTTTGGTAAAATGCATAAAGTAGAGCAGACATCATGGATTTTTTATTCCAGTGTGGAATTTAAAGACAACGTGAAGTAAATTTACACAACATCCATCCATTATCTATACACCGCTTAATCCTCACGAGGATCATGGGGGGCTGGAGTCTATCCCAGCTGACTTAGGGTGAAGACAGGGGACACCCTGGACAGGTCACCAGTCCATCGCAGGGCCACACTTAGAGACAGACAACCAAGCACACTCACATTCACACCTACGGACAATTTAGAATCACCAATTAACCTCAACATGTTTTTGGACCTTGTGGGAGGAAGCCAGAGAACCCGGAGAGAACCCACGCTGCACGGGGAGAACATGCAAACTCCATGCAGAAAGATTCCGGTGCCCCCACCGGGACGGAAACCGGCAACCTTCTTGCTGCGAGGCAATAGTGCTACCAACTGCGCCACCCTGCAGCATTTACACAACATAATTGCAAAAAGATATAAAACAACTACAAACCAGAAAACAAGAACAAAGAGACACAAAACTAGATTGAGACAAAAAATGTTTACAAAAACACACAAATCCAACTGCAAAGAAACACAGAATGACTACAGAGACGCAAAATGACCTCAAAGTGACAAAACACAACCACAACGAGAAAGAAAACAATTGCAAAAACACACAAATCAGACTACAAAAAGACACGAAACAACTACAGAGACAAAAAATGACCCAAAGAACAAAATGTTCTGTTGATTGGCTAAGGAACTCCTCAGAGTTTTAACAAAAGAACAAAATGTTCCTTGTGGTCTGTTGGGAGGAAGCAGAGAATCAGACCCACACGGCTGAACTGCTGCAAAGAAACCAAGAAGAAGAAGACGAGAACTGCTGAGACCCAGAAACACACTTTACTTGGTAGTTGCCGTACAAATGTTGTTTTTTATGTCAAAAGCATGCAAAGAGCTTATTAAATATATAATGTCAAACATTCACTGCAGTACCTGACTAAAGGTGTTGTTTCCTCGTCCAAACAGCGGCTCAGTGTAGTTGAGGAGCTCGGAGCACCAGGAGGAGTTGAAGCTGCCGTGATAGACGGTGAAACAGGAACATGGAAGCACATCTGGACTCGATAGGTTCAGACTCTGGATGTAGGAGTTCTTCAGCCAATCACTGGGGCCTGTCTCCCCACAGCACTTCCCCTGTAAATCAGTCACAATCCTTCAGCGTGGTTGGTTGACACTCAGATTGAATAAGGATCTGTGTGGGAATAGAACCAGCAACCGTTCAGCAGCAGAGACTCACAGAGTGCTGCACGTTGTCCATCAGTGTGTCGGCACGGTTGCTGCTGTTTCCGTACTGAACGATGACCTGATCCACGACTTCATTCAGCATGTTGTCAATCTGAAAAAAACAAACATCTGTAACATCTGATAATGCAGCTGCAGATTTACTTAAGCATTATATGTGGCTACAGTGGAGACCCCCCCCCCCCCCCCAAGAAAAAAACAGGAAAGTAAAGAAAATTAATAAGAAAGTAACAACTGGATTTTTTAAATTACCAAAAACTCAAAAAAAATGTCACTTTATTGTGACATTTGAGAAGGTGGAACCTTAAAACACTTTCTATTTTACTTGCTGTTAATCAGCTATTGTATTAAAGTTAAAACCCCTAAATATTATTTCTTATAAACATTCATTTTACTAATTAAATGTTGAGTAAACATTCTACAACATTATTTATTATATAACTTAATACATTTAAATATTGAGGGTAGGGCCCTAGAATAATATTTAATCTATAAATTTTATCTATATATTAAGGTAAAAACCCTCCAACATTATTTATTATACAATTTGCTGAATTTTAATATTAAAGGTGAGATCTGACAATATCATACAAAACTATGTGAATTACCCTCTTAAGAGGTAATATCCGATAGACATGGGCCTAAACCCACATGTAGAAAGGAATTAATACTGTAATGTAATACATTTGAATCAATTTGGTTGTTATCCTACTTTGAAAGAAATATGTTGGATTTTATTTGTTGATGTTATTGCAAAACTTGTGACAAAACTTTGCAAAGAAACATACTAGAGATGTAGAATATCAATTCTATTAAATGATTAAGCAGAATTATTATTTTCCTGGCTGCAGTTGAGTTAGTGTGCAGTGGATTTATTCAATAACTTTTCAAGTTATGCCCACCTTGTCTCTGTTTAGGAGCAGCAGCAGTGTGACGTACAGCTGACCCAGGACCAGGACGATGAGGCAGCCGATGTACTGACAAGGAACAACAGAGTTCAGTCGCAGCTGCAAACATTTCTGTTTGCTACAACATGTGCATTCAGTTTGATGTTAATTACACTGGGCAGACATTTGCAGTGTGTTTTACTTGTATCTATCTAGGAGCAATAAAATGTTTAATTCTTGTATTTAAATGTACAGTATCCAGCAGATGTTAGTACAGCCCCGTCCAACATCACCTAATGTCTAAAATGTAGAACTTACAGTATTCAGATTATTAGTCTGATTACTAAGAACCAAACTAATTATTCATCTTGGAAATACTTTTCTAAGTAGAAAAATATTTCCTCTGATGTAAAATGAAAAACTAACAGTTTACATTTAACATGTTAAAAACATAGGCCCTGTCAATGCAAACAAAGGTCAGGACATCATTCACTACTGAGATTCACATCATTGATTTCTTCTGTACTTCATGTGTCCAATTAGATGGTTTTCATGCTGGAATATTTCTCTTCTTTGAGCTCCTGCAGACTGGGAGTTATCTTGTTGGCCAACACTTTAGTTTATCCACAAACATTTGTGGTGCATCTATAAATATCATCTCGCGAAACCTTTTGAACTCAGGCAGCCTCATATCATCACACTCCCACCTTTGTGCTTCACTGTCAGGACTAGGCATTCACTGTGGTAGTCCTTATCAGGTTCATACCAAACATGCTGATCTCTATCTGAACTGAACAAAATTATTCTCATCTGACCGCAGAATGTGTTCCCAACATTCATCAGGCTTTCATCTTTTCCCATTCGTTAGCCAAGTTTCATTTTGCAGTTTTTTGCCAAAGATTTGTTCTTGTCATCCATCCACCTCCAGTCACTGATCACAGATGAGGCGATACTGCAGTCACTCACCACCAGCAGCAGGAGTCTGTTCTGGCTGTTAGCTCCAGCACATCCAATGACACTGACCAGCACCACCACGCCACCAATCAACAGCAGGCCCATCGCCACCACACGCAACTCATCTGAACAAACAGACAAAGAGACACATGCACTCACTGATCACTCTGTACGGTACACCTGTAAAATCTAATCAAATCCAGTGCAACAGCTCTGCTATACATTTCTTACATTTAGTCATAAAGATGATTATTATGGTTATTACAGAGGTTACAGTGGGTGGTGGTGGTGGTGGTGCACTGGACTGCATTACTTTTAAAGTGTTCCTAATATTGTGTCCACGTCTACAACATACATGATGGAGTCAAGAATAAACATAATAATAATAATAATAATAATAATAATAGAGCAAAAAATGGAGAAGCTTTGTGAAATATATGGCAGAACGGTTGTTTGAGCGGGGGTATCTGATCCCCTTAATTAAAACCTGAAGTTCTCAAAAGACGTAAAAACAACAGGGTGGGGGTTTGAAGCATCTAGGTAACATTTTTTTTCTTTTGTCGACGTAATTGTATAATTTAAATATAATTCTCTTTTTTGTGACTGGGAGAATCTTCTAATAAGATTTCACACACCCCTGAAGCGGACCGTACCATCTCTCAATCTTGACGTTAGTTGAACGTCTTGTGTAGAGCGAGCGTCCGTCTAAAAGGGCTGATCAAGATGTACTAAATATTAAATTGTGATTTTTCTGACTGATGACATGATTTCATTTACAATATAATTTCTTATCCTCCTGACCTCAAGCAGTTTCTGGACTTTTTTCTTCTTTTTCTGTAATTGTTTATTTGCTCCAGTCACATTTATCCTCACTGTAGACTCATTTTTCACTGGAATATAAAGTCCTGCGCCTCTATGGAAACAGCACAACAATGAATAGAAGGAGAGAGAACTCAAAAATATCTGTCGTGCAATGTGACTTGGTTATAATGCCAGAACTCGTTACAAAAAAAAAAAAAAAAAGCTAAAGTTGAATTTCCTTAAATACATATTTTACAAAATTTGGAAACAAGAATCAGCATTTTTTTATTTTTATTTTTTAAGTGCCCACAGGTGCTACCAATACCAATAATACATTTAAATGAAAATGGTGTCTCTACATACTACAAATATTTTATATACTTACATTTTTAATTTGTTTGCATTCTTGTCTTCCCTCTGCTTTGTGCAACACTGCCTGCCAGACAACCAGACAACTCAGATTTTTTGTTTTGTGACTTGATCACAACTGAGTCAGTAATGACTTCATGGTTGTGCCGAAGAGCACAGAATTTGGGGTTTTTATATGAAATTCATTACTGCAAATGGGTTATTTTTGGGTACTTTTAAATGAAACATGTACCAATACAGATTTTGATGAAATATCACAATTTAAATCTTAGATTTGTTTTGTTTTTTGTTTTTTTTTTCCAAAAGACACCAAAAATTGTGGACAGATTAATCAACAATGAAAATAGTTGTTAGTTACAGCCCTAATCAAAACTAACAGTACTTGTCATTACAGGTTAATCTGCAGAGTATTTTCTTCATCAATCCGTTTGGTTTCCAAAAGATTGTTCGTTAATGATCTGAAGATTGGATGTCAGTTCTGCAACTTTTGTCAAGTAATAAAAAATCTCATGAATTTGTAGTACAGTTGTCGAAAACAATTTCATGGTGCAGTTCTTTTTACATTTTCCATAATGATTTTAAAAAATTGTCCTAACAGGATGGACAAGAGATGCGCTTCTTAACAACACGCAGCATGTAAGACAAAGTTTTGGGATGGTTTACTTCGGCTTCCAGTCTTTATACTAAGCTACTTAAGCCCAGGACCTCTCTCTGAATGCTGTAGTGTTCATTTGGCAAGAATCTGGTGTAAAGCAACATTACTGGAAGGCAGGATATTCAGGAAGCTTCCACTGTCGAACAGAATCCAGACTCCACATCCAGCTACACTCAGACCCAGAACCTGCACAGGCCAAAAGTCAGACTTATTGTAGTACATTCCTGATGGATTTAAATGTTTTCATCATATCAGCGGATGCAGAATAGTTGTTGATGGATCTTTATAAAGTTTTACAATAAAATAAAACAAACAATAGTAACATTTATTTTTGTCATCATCATTAAAAATAGCCGTACAAAAGCCTAAGTGACTAGAAGACACTAAAAAGACCATTGTTCTAAATAACAGTAAATGACAAAAAAAAAATACAAAATTAAATAAAGGACTAAAGAGATTTTAAGAATAAAGGACTAGAAAAAAAAATAACAACACCGAAACAAAATATAACAAAGGATCCCAATTTTAAAAAGACAAAGGATTGACAAGAGAAATAAATAAGAATCAAAACATTATAAGGAAGAAATACTAAATAAATAGATAAATAAATAACCAAAGGAAGAAAAGACAAAAAATAGAATAATAGTGGGGGAAAAAACAACAAAAAGAAACGACAGAATATCCAAGATTGGGTCAAAAACACAAATAGTAAATCATGAGAATAATAGACGAAGCAAAAATGCAGAATTGCAAAAACAGTAATAAAGGGTTTTAAAAATGAAAGAGCAAAGTTTGAAAAAATCTGGAATAAAAAAATAAAATAAAGACCAACCATCAAAGTCCAAACAGAGGATGCGAGCTGATTAAACTGAATAACTATTGGTAATTATTATAGGCCTCCATAACAATAACAATAATAATAATCATCATCATCATCATCATCATCATCATCATCATCATAATAATCATAATAATAGTTATGTCATATTGGTATTGCACAGCCTTGAGAAACAGTCGCTTTGCTTTTCACTGCACTATGAGCGTTTCACAAACAGAACCTCTTGAATCTTGAGTTGTTGTTACTGTAGAATCCTCTCCAGAATAATACAAACAAATCCAGGTGCCTTTGAATAGTTACGTTATTGTTCTTCCTGAATGAAGTAAAGGCATCTAGGTTTTTTTTTTTATATCGATTTTTCAAGACTTAAGAGAAGACTGAGAGTTAACAGAGAGTCACCTTACCAGGAAGAGGATGTTAAAAACTGCAGAGCAGAACTTCAGCAGCTCAATCTGCACCTCTAGCTTCATCCTCCTTAACTCAGCGACGACAAAGCGTCTCTCTAGATTCTTTTCAGTTAAACCCGCACACCAGGTTGGGTTGTTGTTCTTGATTATGTTCTCCAGCAGAACGCTTTAGCTCCTGTCCGATCCTCGGAGAGCCAAGTCACTGCAGCAAACACACCTGAGATCAGAGTTCACTTCCTCATTGTGTTTAAACTTTAAACTAATCTGAGAGTGTCTCAATAGAAACACACACACATTTCCCACAAAGCCTGTGGGGAAGTAAAAGCCTGATAGAAACAATGCAGGAACAAGGAAACACACTGACAATTTAACAGTTACATGAATCACAGCTTTCTCCATAGTTAGGTATGATTAACAGGATACAGTCAACAGTCAAATGTACTTATATAAGCGCAGAGATGATTTCTGTGTGTCAGCTAATTAGGTCAAATACCGACATATTTACCAACACTGCTATATTAATATGGGTTGTTGTATGTGGCACTATGCTTATCTCACTCTGGGAATTTTTTATTGGTCCAGAGGAATTTTCCAGTTTTATCAGGTGATTTATTTCATGAAGGCCCCTTGTGGATCCATTTTCTGTCTGTCTGTTGTTTTTAATGCAAAAATGCCAACTATTTGCTCATATTAGCATGTCAAAGGCATGAAGGTTTGCAACTTTTCTTTATCATATGACAGTAGAGTAAAGTTTAAAGTTAAGATACAGCTGTAACTGGATTAATGAATTACTAAAGAAAACTCACAACATGATTCTCAGATTTTGCAGCATCTTATTTCTAATGGATTTATAGAGGTTTATTCTGGATGGGCATCAGAACAGAGTGTAAAAGTACAGCTTTCATGTCTGAGTTATAACTCTGGTTTTCTTTTTTTCTTAGATTGTTCTGATTCGCTGTCTGTCTTCTGCCTCTTCAGTGTAACCGTGATGCTGCTCTCATTCCTGTGGCTCAGCTGGATGATCAGCAGAGGACGCTGTTTGACCTCAGTTATGCAGGTAGGAGGTTTCTTTTTTTTTCTGTTCTCCATCCATCCATTATCTATACACCGCTTAATCCTCACAAGGATCGCCTGAGTCTATCCCAGGTGACTCAGGGTGAAGGCAGGGGACACCCTGGACAGGTCGCCAGTCTATCACAGAGAGAAAGACAACCACTTGTGGGAGGAACCCGGAGAACCCAGAGAGAACCCTCACTGCACGGGGAAAACATGCAAACTCCACACAGAGGGATCCCGGTGCCCCCACCGGGACGCGAACCGGCGACCTTCAGTGCTAACCAACTGCGCCACCTTGCAGCCCTATTCTGTAATCTTTTATTTTTAGGAGGATTAAAAATATTGTTAAAATGAAATGAAATGAAATGAAATGAATGAAATGAATGAAATGAAAAATACTTTATTTATCCCAGAAGGGAAATTCAATATGATAATAAATAAAAAATAAATAAAAATGACACCATCTATTGGCCTGAGATTGTTGGATTTTACACTTTCTGATATTTCTTGACATAATCTTGTGTGATGTGCAGTTCTGTCAGGACAATTAATCAAATTTACACTTAAAACTGTGATATTTACAACCAAATCACTTTATTTTACATGTCTGTTAAAAATCAAACCATTTGGACTAGATTCTGTTAAAACCATAAAATTTAGGCTCCACAGTGCAACTGATGATACATAACTGAGTCAGTTGTGACCAACAGTCATGTAGCAAAAAAATCAAAGATTGTTTGTTGATTCCAGGATGTTTGTGGAATTTAAAAAAATAAATAAAATAAAAACTTTAGATTTTTCTTTCTATTATTCTCAATATGATTCTGTCATACTCCACAGAAGACATTTCTCACTTCATTTACCTTCTAGTCATAGTTGTGCTGTTTCCATAGTAGTGCAGGACTTTATATTGAATGGAAAATGAGTGCAAAAAAGCTCAGAAAAGTACCAAAAATATATGTCAATTTATTGTCTTTACTGACACATATATTGTAAAAGCTGTTTGTTTTCAAATTGTCTATTTTTTGTTTGATGTAGATACAACTCTGTTTATCAGTTTAGGTTTAGGAAATTTTTCTATTGATAAACTTATGGTTTGGCGGGTAAATTAGAACTTTACCCTTTTGTCAATTGCAAAAAAGGTGCTAAAAGATGTTATTTTTCCTCTAAACTACACTATTGAGTGCTTGTGCACTCGGAATTGGACATCTGATGAAAACAGATTTCAGTCCAAAACAAACACAGGAAAATCCGACTTTGTTTCTGTGTATTTTGAAATTTAGACTTGCAGACTGAATGTAATGTAACTTGTGCTCTCTGCATTTTTGTTGTTAATAAACTTCTGCGTATTTCCAATAACCAAAACACACTCTTAGCTTGCAGTTGAGGTTCAGAGAGTTAAAGTACCAAAAGAAAAAAATAGTCATCAAGTAGAACTGTCTTGTTTTTATGGTGTTTTAGGGAAACTTCTAATGTATCATTTACTATTTATTGGTTACTTTCTTTACAACTTTGATTGTTTGTTGAAACTATAGAAAACAGTTTCAATGAAAACCGTAAAACTCCCCAAAAAGAAAATAAAACACTGTACAGCTACATAGAGTCTGAACACAGAAGCACAGTAGCCTGAGAATTTTTCACAATGGAATGGTGTGAAAAGAAAATTGTAAATGAAAAATGGCCCCAGTGTCTTCCAGAGACTGTCAGATGCCCCTTTTTTAAGGGGGAAAATTTTTCCCTTGTTTTCTCTGCAATTCCCCATAGGACCTCATGCAGGCCTTGAAGGTCCCCTGGAGGGTCCTCAGACCGCAGTATGAGAACCTCAAATGCAATTAATGAGAAATATAGTCAGCGCGACCTCTGACCCTGAGCCAAAGAGGAAGACATTAGAGTCAGTCAAAGGTCACAGCTCGACCCTGTTCCCATGTCCATCAGCGGCAGCAGCGTGTTTTCACTGCTGGGCAGACGGCCAATCAGCTTCAGGTGCCTGGCAAGTCGCTGCCTGGTTACCACGGCAATGTGTGATGCGTTGATTCAACACACAAACACACAGTTTAGAGCAGGGGTATTCAATAAAAAGTTACTGAGGTACAGTTATTAAAATTTCCTCCAAGTAAAAGGTCCGAACCAAAGTCCAGTTTGTGTCTTAAAGCCTTCCCCTATGGCCACATCTTCATGGTTTCAACAATACTTATTGTCAATTTTCAGTGCAGGATATGTTTAACTGAGTGCACAGCTAGCTCTTTTACCATATATAAGTAGTCCCAGGCAAAAAATTTGAGGTCTTTGTTTTAGATTAGGGAAAACAAAAACCTCAGAATAAAAGACATTTTAAAAGGTGCAAACAGAGCCGAATAACCCTTTTATCTCTTAAATTAAAGACGTCCCGGCCTAAAGAACTGAAGGCCCCCACTTCAAGCAAAAAAGTCAACATCCTCAGAAAACAATAAATAAGAGGTTTGGTTTGCACGCTGCTGGGCTGTAAATGTGTGTGATGAGTTGGATAGATCTGTCATACAGGGCTTGCAGCTCGGTTATTTTGCGTGCCCTCAGCTCGGACTTTAGGGGACAACTTTGCTCAAAAGAGCTGTGCTTTGTTTCGTAGTGGTGCTTCACGTTGCTACTTTTAATTAATGCCACGTTTTCAGAGCATATGAGTCGCACTGGTTGTGAACTGCCTGACGGAAGAATAAACATACATTTCTCCGTCCACTCATCTTCAAAGCAACGGTTTTCCTCGTCAATGTTCCTTCTTTCGGATCAAGCCATGCTGTCCTCATTGTCTCATCCTCTCTGCTCTGCTGTATAGACAAGCGCAAAGTGGCAGCGGCAGCAAGCTGTGGAGGTGGGCTGGCCGTGCAGGGTAGCCAGACGGTTTGATTGGCTGGACTGAGTAACAGCGGCCGCTGTCTATAGCCGGAAAAAATGCTCCATGAAAATCTATTCTCATGAATTTATCAGAGACTGGTCACGGGTCCGGACAGAACCATCACTCGGTCCGGATCCAGACCAAGGTCCACCATTTGGTGATGCCTGGTTTAGAGCTTCTCATGTCTTTCTGAAGCTGTAGATGATTCATCACTGTTGGTGACGTCACCATAGCAACTGTGACACCATCGTGACTCGTGTGATGTCACCAGTTCCAGCTGAGACCGCTGCAGCACCAGTGACCCAACAGCACACAGCCCCTGGTTTTTGATAAGCAGCCTTATTAATGGTTACCATTGTAACAGAAAGTCCTCCTCTCCAGTTGGCAGCCAGGTGTCAAAACAAGCTTAGGTCAACTTTTCAGTCATGGCTTATTAAACTGCAGGTAGTCGTAGCAACAGTGATGATGCTGCAGACTGTTAGCGGTGAACCCACAACACATCTTAAAGGACCCCTGTGACTCACTAAATGCAGTGTGGACTATCAGGATCTACAAGATTAATATATGATCTACACCTCAACCTTGAAACCAGGTCTGAACCTTCAGGCAAGCCTTTGTAGGACTGTCCCAAAGTGAGGACCGTACAAAACGTACTTACAGCATATAAAACCCACCTCAGCCCTCGCAAAGACTTACACAGTTGTCACAAACACAAACCCACAGTCCTCTTTACAGTGTTTCTCAGCAGGAAGAATTTCCTGCAGGCTAACAATCTATCAAACAAGACCACATAAAACACAACTCCCCCACTGCCCCTCCAGAAGATACCTCTGGGAACACTGGGGGTCTAAATCTGAAACTGATCCGAGCCCGAGAAGGTACAGAGGAGCAAAACGGAGCAAGGATGCAGAACTGTACAACAGTTTCAGGCACTTCAGGCGTTCAGATTTTATAACGTAGAGGGTGGATCATCCTAAATGCAGCAGGAGAAGGTTTGGGGTCAGTGTCATGCAGTAGAATGAATGAAGAGTATCTGGTGGTAACTTTAGAGGTTCTAGAGGTCCTTCATGTTGTCCTGATGGTCATTTAGAACTTTTCATAGGTCATTTAAAAGGCTCTGCAAGTGTTAATGGTCACTGAGAGGGACCTAAACAGGGCAAACTAAATTGTGTCACATGCCACCATTGTTTGAGAGTGTACGGGTTTAAACTTCACGTGGTTGAC